ACTCAGGGCTGAAGAGGTCACAGGCAAAGTCGAGACCGCTACAAGCCGCAAATTTATACACTTGGGCTCTCTTCAGGCCTTGAACTTGAATTGATAAATTGAGTGGCATGAATGAGAGGAGGCTCATCTACACCTCTCACGTCTCGATCTCTGCTCACGCCAAGTGTATGGCTGGAGGCATACACTAGATGTCGAATCAAGCACAAATCCCGTTACCCCAAGTTGGGAAGCTTCTGAGCGTTGTGTGAGTATCTGACATTTCTGCTATAAGAATCCTCTTTCCTGCATACTAATGTATACAATTCTCTAGCCCGGTCGGCCTCAAAGAAGCTGCCCTCGACTCGCCCACCTTTCGTGCCACCACCCTCCATTTCTCCGATCAGATCGATTTCATAGAAAAATGGCTCGACGGATATGCTAAAGCTGCAACAAAGCTCTCATGTGAGCTGACGACTATAGAGAGTGTAGTGAACAACTTTCTTTCCTACTCGACACATCCCCTCGTTGTCTCGGAAGCGGTGATTGACCATGATTATACACTTTTGGCCATGAGGAGGTGCGGTGAGGGATCGAAAGATCTTTGGAGTGGGCTCATAAAAACAACCAGAAAGATGGAGTCATTGATTTCCGAACCCATTCGAGATTTCATTAACGAGGATCTGCGGCCTTTGAAGGTACTGAGAAGCCCCTAAACCAGGTTGCTCTTGTGCAGGATTATCTGACATGGCCATAGGAAATTCGTCGCAACCTCGAGCAAACCCAGAAATCGTATGATTACCTCCAAGCTCGATATGCCTCCCAGTCAAAATCCAAGGAGGCCTCTGCCCTAAGAGAGGAAGCGTTCCAGCTGCATGAAGCACACAAGGCCTACCTGAAAGCGGCAATGGACTATTCAGTACAGGGTCCTCAGGTACGAAACGCACTTGACCGACTTTTGGTTAAGGTCTCCTGCGATCAATGGCGGGAGTTCCGGGAATTTCACAACCACAACAGCGGGAGCTACTTGAAATGGTCCCATGAGATGGATCGTATCAAGGGTTGGCTTCATGAGATGGAAGGGAGTGAAAAATCATCTAAACGAGAGCTATTATCCACCCGGAAGCACATTGAGGAAGCCGCGGAACTTGCTGCTCGACCATCTCGTGAACTGGAGGACTATAGTGTCTCGACCGTTCCGTACCTTGGCTCTCGCCCTATTTCGGCACTTAATGTGAGCAAAGAGATGCGACCAGAAAAGCAAGGATGGCTGTATTTGCGCACATTGTCAGGAAAGCCCACTCGCACTGTTTGGGTCAAACGGTGGGCCTTTCTCAAGCACGGCATATTTGGTTGTCTTGTACAGGGCTCTCGTACTGGTGGCGTGGAAGAAAGTGAACGAATTGGTGTACTGCTTTGCAGTATTCGTCCTGCAGCCCAGGAAGAACGCCGGTTCTGCTTCCAAGTGAAGACTAAGAACAACACCATTCTACTACAGGCAGATAACCAAAAGGAGCTGATGGAGTGGATTGGTTCTTTTGAGGCTGCCAAACAGAAAGCATTGGAAAACCCCACAAGCACTGGTCTTTCGGTTTCCGGAAAAGTCGCGGTTCAAGACCCTGCATTTTCAATTTCTCAACCTCCCGCTTCCGAGTTTGCTGCAGATCCTTCAGATTCTCTCACCCCCAATGCGCACGATGAGCCCGGAGGGGGTGACCGCAGTATGACGCTTCCTGTTCCAGACCGCGATGGAATTCTCATGAGAAATAGTACGGACATTGGAAGCAGCAGAAGACCCACAGGCTTGGATAGTGAGAGCTCTGCCAGAGAGCATGCAAGAGAGCATACCTCTAGACTCATCCAAAAGTTGGATCTTCACCGCAAATCGAACAATGCGGCTCCAATACCTCCTTCCATCCCCGGCCCTGCAGGTGGAATAGCCAGCCTCATCTCTGCCAGCCATAATATTCTTCCTTACAGCACCACCGGTGCTGGTGCACTCAACGTGAATGACGATAGCACCAACCGAGGTCGCAGTTTAAGCACCGTGGATGAGCCTGGCTCAAGTCTTGCACCTGCCACCCTTGCCAATCCCCCAGCACCCACAAGCATGAGCAAGGCGGCAGTGGTTGTGAGCAATGAAAGAGGTATTGGATTAGGTGTATCTGATAGCACAGGTGGTATGCCCAGTGGTATGATGGCGAACCTGTGGGGTAGCTCTAACTGGGGCTTCATGAACAAGCTTCAACGGGAACACCAGATCGATGGAGCTTCTGATGACACCGCAGAAGTCCCACCCTCTTCCACCTCAACACGCCCGATTGCCGCACAGCCCGATGCAGCGGGTGCTTTAGTGGCACCCCGACAGCAATCAGGTCAACGTCACAGACAGACAGTGAGCCTTGATGGAGATGACGTTAAACTCACGCAAGTTGCGCTAGGTATTGGGCATGAATATCCTAGCTACTATCCTCAACAATTAAGGATTCAAGATGCTCAATTCAGATTGCTTTTCCCATACGTCAAGAGAGCGGAACCGTTGGTCTTGGTGTTCAGAGCCACCTGGAGCCCCAACGACCAGCAAGAGTTTCCTGGACGAGCTTATGTCACATCAAGGAACATCTACTTTTATAGTCATCATTTCGGACTGGTTTTAACTACCAGTGTGTCTTTGGAAAGCATTAAGGAGGTAACCGCAGCTCCTGGGCGAGACTGTGACTTCCTTTTCCTTCATACTATCCCACCCCTCGGCAGCGATACTCCTGGCCGGGTTACGATTAAAACTTTCCTTGAACCTCTTCGGCTTCTTCAAAAACGGCTTAACTTCCTGATCCAATGCTCTATTGCCGTGGAGCAATTGCCTTTGGAATCTTTGATCAAAACGCTAATCAAGATGAACACTGGATCACCAGCCCGGAATTCCAGTGCAGATAGCTGGGAAGATCTCTCGTCCGGACTTGCAGACATCAAACACGATGGGGGTAGGCGTACAGATCTGAGTCGTGCAGAGGACATCCGACTCCCTATCTACATAGACAAAGATCTTGAGCTGAATGGAGGCAGGACTGGCCGTGGTCGAGATGTTACTAAATTCAGACTCCCAACCCAACCCGTTGAGTATGTTCCACAAGGTGATCTTGTTTTGGTGACCGAAAAGATTCTCGATATAAGCCCTAAAGCTTTGTTCCATATATTATTTGGCGACAAGAGCGCTGTGTGGCAGCTTCTTTTACATGAGAGGCAAGCTCGAGGTTCGTCGCTTGTAGATCCCCAATCACTTACACGTGGCTAACATTGCAAAGAAATCAAACAAGGCCCATGGGCTAGTACAGAATCGCGGCATTTGAGGCGTGACTTCCACTACAATATCGACACGACAGACATCCTCGGTAGGCTTGATTATTGGTGATCTTGAGATCGAGCTATGACTGATTCTGTATAGGTCGTACTCAAGAAAATGCGATTTCGGATTATCAGATTATCGATGTTCTCAACGACCATCTGTGCTACGTGATCACGGATAAGAAAACCCCATGGCATCTCCCCTTCCGACGTTCGTTCCGGTTGGTCAGCAAAGTTGTCATTACATTCCAGGCTAAGTCGAAGAGCAAGCTTGCTATTTATACGAAAGTCGAGTGGCTGTGGTCTCCCTACGGCCTCAAAAGTGAGTCATTTCTCCCAAATTTGAATAGAGTGCAATAATCTAACATACCCAGATGTGATCGACAAAAAAGCAAGTGATGATCTAGAACAAGATTCCTTGGATCTTGTCGACCTAGTTAGTGACCAAGTACGCCGATTGGGTGCACATAGTCGCACTAAAAAAGCTATTTCGATCTTCGGCCACGTTGGACGCCAGAGCAATGTATCCCAATTTAGTGGCGCTGGTCCCAACCCGAAGCTGGAACCCCGCAAGCCTCGAACACAACGTGCCATGCATGAGCTTCTTCTCGAGACCTTCTTGTCATTCCTCGAAACTAGTGTTTCGTTCCTAATGATGTGGGCCTTTGGCGTAATTCGCTGGTCTTGGAAGACCGTGAGTGCACACAAGATCATCCTGATCATGTTGGCCACAAGTGGAATTCTGAACGGATACTATTCCTCGCGTGATAGCTGGGACTGGTGGCACGAGAGACATGCAGGAAACTTCATGGCGCGGTTGGGTGTACAGCCAAACCTGGTCATGAGCAAATCTATCTACATGCGGGATATTGATGACGCAGTTGCAAACTCCACAATCTGGCGCGGCAGCGGAAATACAAGTGATTGCTTTGCTACCTTCCACGAGCAGACCATGCGGTATTCTGAAATGCCTCTGTCGCTCAGTACATCGGGCCCCCGGGATGCGTTGGCCAAGAGCGCCATCAAACGCTTCCAGCAAACCCGTGAGCGTCTTGGTATGTATCGACACAACCTTCTCGTTGCAATGCGTGTCGTGAACAGCATCGAGAAAGAGGTCATTCAGACCGAATGGGAGCGTTGGCTCCGTGAGGAGATCCGGCGCTGTCGCCAGGTCGAGCTTCTCCTCGGCGGAGAAGCCACTGAAGGCGATGACTCGCAGACTGGCCGAACGGATAAAGCTGAGCGTGTCTTTGCCGAGCATGCAGACAACATCAAGCAGTGGTATGAGGAGTACTGCTCGAGTTGTCGAATGGAGCAAGAACAGGTCATATTCAATGACCATGGCGATCTATTTCCTTGATTTTTTCTTTTCCTGCAGCAGTTTCTAGTCGTCTATCTGAACATATTGTCAAGCCTTCTGTATTGACATTTAGCTTTTTTTTTTTTTGCTCCTTGCTTATCACTATACCCAGTACCTAGCTGATTGTGTCAAGAATTAGTGCACAATTTCGGCCTATATCATGCAAGTCTTTTGTTGCTTTGAATATATTCTGTAAACCACATAGATAATGTCATTTCACTGATCTTTTGAATGAGTCGTCACATCATGTCGTTAACCCGTAAGGGGTAAGAATGCAATAGGTATTATTATGTACACATGAGAACCACTTAGCTCTGCACACTCAGTTCTGCCTCGGCTTCACCTCGCCTTCATGCACAACATAATATGCTACCGTCCCGTCCCCACCCATCCCCTTATCCACCATAGCAAGCAACAAGCTTTGCGAGCCCCATTCCTTGGTCAAACGAGCTTTCTCCTTCTTATCATAGTACTGCGCCAGCTTTTCTGCCTTCTGAGGATCCAGACCCGACGCCCCCGGCTGCATGCTCGTAGGATTGACAGATCGATCATGCTCTTCAGCCTTTCGCTTGAACTCAGGAAGCCGGTCAAACACAGCAGCCATATGGCGCAAGGTCCACGGCTGACCCTGTGTAGTCGGCACCACGAACATGCGCTGCGGCTCGAGGTCGTCTTCGCGAATCCCGTTTTCTAGCATGTAAAGCTGCTCATCTGGATGTGTGTACACGCGGTGTGGGGGGTAGCCGGAGAGCAGAGGGATTGGTTCTTGTGGTGGCTGGTGGGGGTCCTTTTCTAATGTGTTTGAGTCGCCTGCTTGTCCAGGAATGACCTCTCCCACTATGGAGGTCCACAGGTGTTGGTGCTCGAGGTTGTGCTGGACTTGCGCGGATCTTGCAAGGTGAGGGGATTCGTAGCCTTTTTCGGTGATGTGTTCAGTGATCGCCGATGCGTGGGGCCGATTGGTGGCTTTCTGTGTGCCTGCCATCATGGATATTTTGTTGAAGCTTTTTGTCTCGTGGGAATTACACCGAGGGAGCTCCGCTTAAGAAACCGCAAATCTCGGGACCTTTGCGGCTTTACCGCCTGTATAGATCTGATCTATTGACACCGCTTTCCTCAATTGGATTGTATGGTTTAGATAAGAAGCTAGGAAGCTAGGAAGTCCCTAGTAACTAGTTTAAATAAGAGATTTGAGAAAATGATAATTCGAGAAGTGCCAAGTCCATTCTTCCTTTTATCTTGGGTTCAAGTAGGAAAAAAAAGAGGTATGTGGGGTGTGGATCATAGACAAGGCGAAATAAGAACACATGGCATCTTGTTATTATTATTCTTTTGGTTTCAGGTCTGGGAACCTCCAGGAACCTGACAACCTAGGAGTATTCTCGACACAGCGTCATTTTCCAATCCCTTCGCATCATTTATATTGCCTTACATTGTTCGAGTTACTTGCATTTCCAACTTGAATCCTGCCCGTATTTGTCGCAATGGGACGACAAAAGCAAGCAGCGCCGCTCCAGAGAGCCCCATCTTCTCAATTAATGCACCTCTCAGAAAAGTCCGACGTGCCACAAGATTCTGGAAGTGGCAACAAAGAGGCACCTTCCACTGCCAATGGAAGCGCATCCAAAAAATCATCAGCGGCCCTGGAGACAGTTGCCGACAGCCCTGGGCTGGCGCAACTTGTGATTTGCGTTCTCGGTATATATGCGGCATTGTAAGTGACTCGAAAGCGTTTCGCCTGATTTCCAAGACGAGTCAAAGAACTGATAATCCAAAAGCCTCTCATGGGGTGTGCTACAGGAGGCGCTCACGACGACCAGCTATCCCCTTCGTTCTGCAACCGCCGCGGAGCCAAACCCTCCGACAGAGCGATTCACCTACTCACTGGTGCTGAACACAGTCCAATCTTCCTTCGCAGCCATCACCGGCTTTATATACCTCCTGTTATCAACCCCAAGCGGCCAAAAGACCCCATCTATCTTCCCAACACGCCGGATCATCTTCCCCCTGCTTCTAGTCGCAATCTCCTCGTCACTTGCGTCACCTTTTGGCTATGCCAGTCTCGCACACATTGACTACCTAACCTTCATCCTCGCCAAATCATGCAAGCTCCTCCCGGTCATGGTCCTGCACCTGACCATCTTCCGCAAGAGATACCCGCTGTACAAGTACGGCGTTGTCCTGATGGTAACACTCGGCGTCGCAACTTTCAGTCTGCACCACCCAGGAACTAGTAAGAAGGCTGCCGCCAAGGATCAGTCTGGATCTTCCGGATGGGGCATCTTCTTGTTGTCCATCAACCTTCTTTTGGATGGCCTGACCAACACCACGCAAGACCACATCTTCTCCTCGCCCAAGCTGTACACCCGCTTTACTGGACCCCAGATGATGGTTGCTCAGAATGTTCTCTCGACTACCCTGACTGCTGCGTATCTCTTGATAATGCCGCATATCTCACAGAGCGGGTTGTTACATAACCTCCTGCCCTTGCCCATCCCCCCGTCTACTGAGGCTGAGCTGGCTGGCGCCTTCTCTTTTCTCTCCCGCCACCCAGAGGCCCTGAAGCATGTCCTTGGGTTCGCGGCATGCGGCGCTGTTGGCCAGCTCTTTATATTCCATACTCTGTCTCGCTTCTCTTCACTGCTGCTTGTCACCGTCACCGTTACACGCAAGATGTTGACTATGCTTCTTAGCGTTTTCTGGTTCGGACATTCTCTGTCTGGTGGCCAGTGGCTGGGGATCAGTTTGGTCTTCGGAGGCATTGGTGCTGAAGCAGTGGTACAAAGATCAGAGAAGAAGGCGAAAGAGCGGTCGAAGATTGAGGCTGCGAAGAAGGAATTGTAAGATGTTTTGTTAGGCTCTGTAGATAAGCTAGATTCCCTAAATATAAAGCACAAGTTACAGCCTCTGGATGGCTTCTCCTTTTACATATTTTCTCAGGTCTTTGTGGGTATATTCTTGACGTGGCTGTTTGTCTTTTAGAGGGCGTAATAATTGGAAGAAGGTTACTTCCGCCCCTCAACCATAATGATATGATATCCGAACCCAGTCTTGACTTCAGCATACTTGGGATTTCCCGTCGTGCTAGTCTCAAGCTCAAAAGCAACATTCTCAAATGCAGGGTCCAACCCGCCCTTGGTCTTCCACCCGAGTGACCCTCCTGCAGAAAAGTAATTAGCCATGTTCATTTTGTCCCGTAGATGTTTACTTACCCTGTCTAGCCTTATCCTCTGAGAATTCACGAGCAACCTCATCAAACTTGGTGCCATTGCGAAGCTTCTCCAGGGCTTCTTCTTTCTTGGCGTGTTTCTCGCACTAGATATGATTCGAATGAGCTATCTAAGAACCCTTTCTCCTGTCCACAGGATCTGGTAGTATATCAACCAGCCACCGACACCATAGACAGAGAATCTGAGATGGGAAAGAGAAGAGCAAAAAAAACATACAAGAATGTGCCGCACGTTAATCGACTGTGCGCCTTTCACAGCTCCTCCCTTTCCACCTTTACCCTTGGCGTCATCGGCGGAGGCATCTTTGCCCTTGCCCTTGGCAGCTTTGGCATTGTTCTTGGGGGCCATCGTGGATGAGAGGATTCAGTAATATGTCGTTATCGCTGCCTCGACAGTTGGTTGTTCGGATCGAGCTGATGTGGGGTGGGATATAGCTGCCTGAGGTTGTAAGGCAGAAAGGGTAGTGTGACGTGGGGGGAGGTGTATTATAGACTCTACATACTCTGAATAGTTATGCATATGAAGTTATCTCAGTTTAAACGCTGCAATATCTTGATTTTCTACAATATAGTTCGCTTATCCTTTCTTTGTTTGTCTTTTCCCCACCGCCAACCTCCCATAAATTACAATTGAGACAAAGACCACCGAGGTCAGCAAATATCGAGGGACCACGAACTATCCAGTACTACGGAGTAGTCTGAGCTTGAAGAGCAAATGGAATTTGATCTTGAAGGTGCACGCATCACCTCATTGCCTGAGGATGCGTTCTATATATCGGATTTCATTACAGAGGACGAGGAGGATTGGTTACTTCAGAAGGTAAGAGCTAACGATTTTCTTATGGACATGTTATTGGAAACCATGCCTTGCACGATTGATATTAATTATTGGACGAATATATGTGCTTGTCATTATGTTATTTCTCTTCAATCTTATCATAGACGCTTCGTGTCACTTCTTCATGTTCAAATTTCACTCACTGCAATAATTCACAGGTAAAATCAGCGCCGCTGCCGCGCTGGACCCAGCTCTCACACCGCAGACTTCAAACATGGCCATCAGCCCTCACCAAGAGCAATTCTCTTCTCGCATCACCCCTACCGGCTTGGCTTAGATCGCCGATCATCGAGCCGCGGTTTGAGGCACTACGTATCTTTAATGATGCGCCACACCAGGCACCCAACCATGTCCTAGTAAACGAGTACCAACCTGGACAGGGTATCATGCCGCACGAAGATGGAGCAGCGTATTATCCCCTCGTTGCGACAGTGAGTCTAGGGGCACCAATTGTGCTTGATGTGTATCACAAACACACCCAGGGCGACAAGGAAGAAAGCGGTATATCAGCCATGGCCGGAAGAGATATTTCCGGGATACTCAACACAAACCGAAGACCTCAATACAGAATATTGCAGGAGAGACGGAGTCTGCTGGTCACGAGGGGCAAGATGTACATGGATCTTCTGCATGGCATCGAGGAAACGACGAGAGATGAGGATCTGGGACCCCACTCTATCTGCAACTGGGACCTCTTGCGGGAGAGGGAACCGTACCAAAGTGGGTGGTATGAGCGGCAGACAAGGACTAGCCTTACTTACAGGGACGTGTTTCATGTTGTGAAGATGGGGAATACCTTGAAATTTTTAGGTGGGAAGTAACGAGTACCTCATTTCCAAATTCCAGTTCTTTCATTCTTTTAGCACTATGTTAGTAGACATAAGGAATCATAAGCCACCAGTCCTGCACCGAGTCTTTGCCGAACTTCTGCGCATACCACTCCTTGGTATTTCGAGCCGTCAGACCTAAGTTGACCGCGACGAAAACCAAACAAGACAGCATAGTTTTATTGATCCATTCACCTCGCGGTGCAGCCAACAGCGCCAACGACAGGTAGACAACGCACTCTGCGCCATAGTGGGGACAGACGACACCGCGGAACATGGGATGCTCCGGAAGGGTGTATTTTTTCAACGAGAATAGGTAGTGATGGGAGTCGTGCTGCAGACCAGACGCCACTAGGAAGAGCGGGACGAGGAAGAAAGTCCGCAAAGTTGGAGCGTTGGTCATCTGCAGATGAGCAATGGTCAGACTTTCGGTCAACAGAGTGCCCGAACCCTCGATCCAAATTGCGATTCCTGCCGCTAGATAGAAACCCAAGCCTAAAAACCAGTGCATAAACCACATTTGTGACGAGGAAGGCTTTGAAAAGGCAAAGCACTCCCATAGCCGCCGGGATCCCTGTATAGCCAATAGCACACAACAGATCACCAACTGCGTTAGTGACATAGAGTGCCGTTGGTGGTCCTCGCTAACGCGGGATGCGATGGCTTGGAACATCACACCCCGCGATAGCAATTGCGCAACCCAGAAGACTGACGATAGGACAGATGCAACATAAAAATGTGTGAAGTAACTATGTGGCACCCGCCAAGTAGCGAGATAGTCAAGGAAGCCCTTGCTCTCGGTGGAGGGGTTGTGGGCGCGAGGTGGTGCAGAGCCAGTGGAGATGGAGGCCGAGGTTGCGCGTGGGCCATAGGTGAGGAAGCGGGACCGTAGAAAGGTCGGGATGCTGATCGAGATGGTCTGCATAAGGAGGGGTCGGCGTTAGTTGGGTTCGTCTGCAGGAGGTGTTCACTATCACCACTATCACCACTATCACAGGGCGTATCGTACCGTGGCGGCGGCCAGCAGGAAGAACGCGCGTAGAGCATCCACAGCATCCATGCCAGTGGCTTCCAGCGTGTTATCGACCCATTGAGAGATTAGAGACATGGCTCTTGGACGAGCTTTATTTTTTCGCTTCAACTTCTCTGTTCTTTTTTTTCTTTTCCCGTTTCTGTTTCGTATTGTTTTTTTAACTTGTCATTGTGATGATATCAGTGAGATGTTTTAGGGAGGTGTTTATTGTGGAGAAATCCAGCCCCCCCCCCGCCGATCCTTCAGCTCTCGCCAACAGGGGCGTATGGAGTTAGTTCGGCCTCGGGATTATTTTGGGGGGATTTGGAGAAATTGGGGTAGATCATAGATACATACGCCTTTTGTACTGAGTGTAGATGAGTTGAATAGAATGGTTTTCTATAGATTATAAAGACAATAAAGACAAGTACAAAGTACACGGAGATATGGGCTGATGTGCTGTGGCGACTTCCAAGGATTTTTGGAGGCAAATCCACTTGACCGCATTGGGTCTAGTTTAGCTAAGCTGTGTTTGCCAAGTTTGCAATTCCGAATTAGGGTTAGTGGATAGAGGTCTGTGCCTTTCATTCTTTCACGGTATCAACGGTATCAACGGTATCGTGTCTCTTAGTATATTCGCGACAGCAAAAAAAGACATTCAAATATGAAAAGAAAAAATAAACAAAAGAAAACAAGATCTATATAACTTCGACCCCTCTTCAAAAAAAAAAAAACAAGCATGTTTTCTCAGTCAAAATTCAACCTGCAGCTATGATTCACCGTGGCCAAACCTGACCCAGTGAGGAGCCCTACACCCAATCCAGTCCCATTCCTTTCCCTTCCCGCTTTTCCTCTTCCCTTCTCTTTCTTCCCCCATTTAACTCCCTATTGAAAAACCCTCGATTTTACCCTCGACCTATATACCTATACCTATAAATCCAATATCAACACTTCATCGACTATCCCCGTTTCGCTCCCATTCCCCGGAGCGATATTGCCCACGCTTCAAGACTCTCTTTGCGGTTGAAACCCGTGGTCGAGAATCGGCGTCCGCGCACAACTGCTGGCGTTGTCGACCACGGTCGTTTTGTCGGTCGCGTTTTCCCCCCCAAAATGACGAGCGGCATTTCAAGTCTTCGAGTGCTATCGCTATGAGTGATGTCGAGGCAGTCTCTTTACCAGCTGCCCTGGACGTCGGTCAGAATAGGCTTGCTACGGTAAAGCCAGACCCTGTTGGCCCTTTATCACCGAGGAAAGCTTGTGCAGACTCCCATCCACGGGCAGAGCATGATGGACCGACACGTGTACATTCAGAAGGGGAGGAGGATGGGCCTCCTAGTCCTAGGGCGGATTCGGAGGCGGAGACAATAATTCAATCAGGTCGGGAGTCCTTGTCGCCAGAGAAGAAAAGAAAGCATATCAAACACGATCCGAATCGCCGTGAACCTAATGGAGTCGATGGGCATCAGCGAAAAAAACCACGCGTGTTTGCCGACAGTCGAGAACGCGAACGGGAACCGGATCGGAGCCCTCCTCCAAGCCGAGCAATTTCACCGTCGGTGGTCAAGATCGAAAAGGTCGATGATTCTCAACTGTCAGAAACGGAAGATGTCGCCAATGGAATTGATCGTGCGCCAGAGAGACCTCGTGCTTTCCGTAAGCGAAGCTTAAGTGACAGTGCCGAGGAACAACGAGATCATCGTCGCGCAAACTCCCATGCAGAATCTCATCCTGTGCGGGAACTGAAACATACCAATAATACACGCCTCTCCAGACCTCCATCCAACACGCGATCGCTCTCACCCAGTCGACCATCTCACGCACGATCTGCTTCAGGCTCTCAGTTTCCAAAGAAGAAGGCGCCAACACCTCTGCTCACAGGCTCTGGGCGACATAGCTCTGAAGATAGACAATCGACGTCCTCCTCTCAGAGCGGTTCTCCACTGCCGGGGGCGCATCTGCGGAAGCTTAGCTCTGGAATTGGCGCATCCGCGTCGCCTGCTAAGCAAATGGGACCGAAGAAATTGCGCGACAAGAGTGGCCGGACTCCTCTTGCTCGGGCGTGCGCAGATCGGAAGCATGATCAAGTTATGATGCGCCATGCTGAACGACCGGAAGACATTAATATCCCCGATAATGCAGGCAACACCCCCCTGCAGATCGCATCGCTTGCTGGAGAAGCCGAAATCGTGAAGTTCCTGCTAGAGGCAGGCTGCGAGATTAACACTAAAAACATTGATAAAGACACCCCGTTGATTGACGCTGTGGAAAACGGGAATGTGGAGGTGGTCAAACTTCTACTTGATGCAGGTGCAAACCCACGAACTGTGAATGCCGAAGGCGATGAGCCTTATGAGTTGGTTCCATCTTTTGTTGATGATGACGAGTATGAAGAGATGCGGAAAGCGCTTTCTGACGCCAAGGCCAATCTGCGGCCTGGTCGACGCTCAGAGGAACATACTAGACCAGAGAGCAAGGAACCTTCTTCGCGACGGGCTTCGGCAGCGAGAGGATCGGCAGCAAGCCCCAGAGATTCGCCTCCGATGCGCAGTCCTCCCCCAGGGGGTCTGTCAAGTCGACGAAAGGGTGGGAGAAGCGAAGCCACAAGAAATGACCTTCTGTGGACGAAACCCACATTCGAGAATCTTCGCGAGTTTGCTGCGAAAGGCGACGAGGCTGGGGTGGTGAGCATTCTGAACATTTTGCAGAAAGCCGACAATGCTTCCTTAATTGCTGCTGCAAAGGGTGGCCACCACGATGTCCTTTCTCTTTTGTATGCGATGGGCAATGCAGATGCGGATCCAAACCCGTTGCGTGGTCAAAAACCGGGTTACAACACGCCTATGCTTGCTGCGATTGGTCGAGGTAACAGCGCCGTTATCCAGCTTATTTTAAACCAACCCGGATTCAACCCCACGCGACGACTGTTTGAAGATAGAACATATTTTGAACTGTCTCGGGGTCGACAGGGTGAGAACTGGGAGGACGAGTATCAGATTCTTAAGGAGGCGTATGAAAGGTTTGCAAGTTCCGACAAGGGCCGCAAAGACGACTCACCCCGCCGCGCTCGTGGGAAAGAGAAGGAGGACAAACGGTCGTCACGTAGAGGGTCTTCCTCCCCTGTCGCACGCAAAAAAATCAACACCAGCCCCAACGCCAGCAGAAATCGCGATTCTTTGAAAGACATGGATTCAATCAAAGAGAAGCGTCGTCAAAAAGAACACGATGCACCACGAGCAACGGATTCCTCTAAACCCAAATCTTCCTTATCCGCCAGACGAGACAGCGAGTCTAGTGGGATGACACCCAACGAAGATGTCCGAAAGAGGCGACTTCTTCCTGGACGTCGCCCCCAGGAGCGTAGGCCAAGTCTCTTCTCGTCTGATTCGCTCTCTGGACGTGAAGAGGCACCGAAGCCACGTGTTGATACAGCACCTGACAACTCGTTGTCTTTGAAGCGCATTCGTGCTGATGGATCTCCAGAACGATCTCGTTCACGCGGCACAGATGTTGACGGTGATCGCCTATCTCCCGAGTCGCGCAAAAAGAAGAGACGGGTTGTCTCTGAAGACAAGCGTTCCGGTACTACACATGGTGCACCTAGGCAACCTGATGATGCCAGCAAACCTCATCCTCGCCGACCCCACGAGGACTCTGCTCGAGCTCCTGAACCTCAACCACACAAATCCACCGACGCCTCTAAGAAACCCCCAACCCGCCCCACTTCACCCCGTCATGACCCCGTCAAAAAGAATGGCAATACGAGAAAGGAATCCCAGGAGCCCAGAGCCGACACCATGGAAGACACTATGGCCGTCGCGAAACGTATTGAGCTTGAAGCCCATGAGCGTCGCCGAGCCCAGGCCAAGAAGGCGCAAGAGGAACGTGCCGCGAACGAAAAGCGCATCGCAGACGAAGCCGAACGCGATCGACTTGCCAAAGAAGAAGCTGAACGAGCGGCTCAGGTTGCCCATGAAAAAGC